TCAGGTTCATTGTGAAAATTCCGATTTAAAGTCATAATGAACTTATTACTTTAATAAAATATAAATGCAATTTAATAAAATATTACGCGATAATATGGTATGAAATGAATAAATTTTATGAACCATTTATAAAAGACTAATAAGGGTTTTTATTCGGAGTTTTCCAGAAAATCGTTTTATAGTTGAAATAATAATAAATGGTAGTCGTATATTTTAAAGAGAAATAGTAATTAAATTTCTGTTATTCCCTTTCCCGAAAATAATATAAAACCAACGAGATGTTCAGTTTATGTAGCAATTGTTTTGTTTGAAACAGTAATATTTAGATATTGTCGACACAAAATAATCTTAGTGGGAATCGTAATTCTATGGGTTTATTGATGATAATTTTACGTTTATGATAAGTGGATATATTCTATTGGTTTCCAGTAATTGTTAATCTCTTTTGATCCCTTAGTTAGAAATTTGCTTTCATATAGTTATTTCGAAGCAATTTCGACAGATTTAAATAATTTTATACAAAACAAAATATAATTACTAAAGAACTTTGAAACTTTAATGCTTTCTTGAAGGTCATGTATTCTTTAAATATAAACAAAACAATACTTTTAAAGTATTCTTATATACTTAATTGCTTCAAATCTTCAACATCTTTCAAAATTGCAAGTAAATAAAGCGTACTGGAAAATGCTCCGAAACCAGATTAAGTGAAATGTTGGCCCATTCTGTATCTAGCTGGATTCGCTCGAATGAAATAAGAAGACCGTCTGAGATGAGCGCAAATGCATCCAATTGACACAGATAAACTTCTGACACAATTTTCCTTTATACAAACGCATTTAAATCTGAAATTGAGACAGTAGTGAGATATGCCAGAAGATTAAGTGTTTTTACCACTTTAGAACCAATAGTCGAACAAATTGGAGCCAAATGAACTTTCATGGCGAGAAATAAACATTATTTGTTGATCATTTGACTTATATTATCAATTTCATCACTTAACAAAGACGAAATATTATTTTAAATCAATCATTATAATATATACAATATATAAATCATAAATAAAACTTTGATTCAATGATATATCAATAACAAAGTTGTAGAAAGTTGGAAGAAATCAATGAGCCAAGAACAATGGACTAACGAGGGCCTATTATAATAAGTGTAATCTATCAAAAGGAAAACAAAGTGTTCTTTAATTGCTACCAACAATATTAATAGTTTTGATTTTATCAATAAACTGAGCTTTGATGGGCGATTTATTTTTAATGGATGTTTCCAAGTGGAACTGTAGTAATAAATATTGAGATCATTCATCATGTCGCATTGTTTGACCGATATACATCTATGAACAACATTTATTTCGCCATCCACCGTTATTGCTGATTCCTGGTACATGTGTGCTTCAATAATCAGTTAAACTAAGGTAATTTGTACAACTTCATGTTTCAATTATTAAACCAGTTTCAATTTATATTTCATTGAATTGAAACACTGAAGGGATAATATTATATAAACCAATTTGTATTTTATACTATGTTATTTTTTAGAAAAATATTCGTTTAAATACTTGTAGACTTTTTTCTCTATTTTCAAAAGAGTCGTTGTTCCTATACAGTTTCTATCTTCTTGGAATCAATCAGTTTGTAAAACAAATATTGTAGTGACTTTATTTGTATATAAACAAAATAATAACTGACTGACAGTTTATTAAAGTCATATTAAGTCAAATATTTTTATTTTCAAAGTGTTATAAATTTAGAAGGAGTCAATATTTAATGTAAGTACCAACTATATTCAGAATTCTCCGTTATTCAGCGATGATAGTTGCCTCCGACCACCAACATTATGGCTGCTATATAGTTAGCTCTCAATAAAATAACGGATATTGAATTTGAACAGCATCTGAGCTTTATATATTAAACGTTAGTCTACTCAAGAATATTTGCACAGTCTGTAACAACTTAATTTTCTGACCCAATTTCATAAACTACACAGAAATGGCAAAATTTAAACGGACAAATTTTGCGTCTACAATGAAACAAAATTTGTAGCACTCTCTGAATTATTAAGGAGACTTAGGGTCCCGAGGAGTGGGGCTCCTTCCACGACCGACGCCATTGTAACACGCGTAATTATTCCACAACGTCTGAAGATTCATCAAATGCCATTAAATATTGAACCGATTTTCGATAGCTAGTGAATCGTCGTTTTTTTTTCTCACAATGACAGTGGGATCTTGACGACTATAATCTTGTGCAAGTCCGTCGGGATTCAAGAAATCTGTAACGTCACCATGAATTGTATATTTTTTGCCAAAAAGGGAAAGATAGATTTACTTAAGATAAAGTAACGAGGGTTCAAAGATATTGCTTTTATTTCACCTCGTTAGAACAGATATAAGTTCTTACTTCCATTTGACTTTGTTCGATAATTTCTTGCCATTTCGAACGTATTCTTCATTAACAGAGTGAGGTGACATTAAAAGTTTCAATGAATAATTCAGTATTATGAATATTTCATAAGTAAAATCAAATTTGAATATATCGTAATGAACTTAGAGTTATTATAAATTAAGTTACATATATATGCTTCATATAAAACCCATTGAAGATTAGAGAGATTTAAAAGGGTATATAAAAATATTAATACCGCTTATATAAGCTAATAACGGTTTACGATGCACAAAATCTGTTAATTTAACGATCACAAAGTGTTGAAAATATTAGGGTTGGCTACAATACGTTTATCAAGACTAAATAGTATCATAAAGTGGGCTGGACCTTATCGGGTCTCGGGGGAGCGATCGGCTATCACATGAATATGTTAGTGACACCCCTACGGATGTTGGAGACCAAAATTATTAATTTCCCTCGCTCTGTTCAATTGTTGGAATTATAAGATAAATTATTTTAGTGTCTTCGGAAAATAATCATCTTCAATTCTCTTATAAAGTACAATTTAATGTGTTTCATTTATAACTGATTTTACTATTCAATAGTTTTACCATATATAAACATATCTGTAACCTTTTCTGTGGCAGTTTGTAATATTATATACATGATACAGTGTATCCAACACCTTAATTAACCCTTCGTTTTATATATTACGTAACTATTGTTTCGTGAACGTAAAAAATGTACTCCCAGCTTTTCTGTAATACACCAATCTCGCCTGTTCTCCGCATTTTCAGATCCCTAGTTCACAATAAACCTTTTCTTAGTAAATGGTTTATAAAAAGAACTGCCAAATATAATATTACTCGGGTTTTTACTGATATGAAGAATACATTGGTTTTAATAAAATTAATAACAAAAGCAATAAAACATTTTGCAAATTAAACGTCAGTAGTAATAAAATAACAATAAGTAATGTATTTGTACATGTATAAACGAGGAAAATTTTGGTATGAGACTTGTTAGTTTTTGTTGTATATTTGAAATTATCAATACATTAAAATAGCATCCATCATATATTAATAAATATATTTAGTGTTGAAAGAATGATTTTTAATTGTTGGGACATATAAAATTTGTAATTTTTTAAGTACACTGAAAATGAATCGAAAACAAAAATGTAATTTTAGAAAGAATATACTTTGAGCTAGAAAATAATTATGAAACAAATTAATTTCAAATTTGTATTTTCTCATAATAAAATAAAAGAAATAAAATTCATATTCAAATGTTCATAAAAGTAGGCTACAATATTATTTTAATATTTCTTAAGAAGTAAAGCCTGAAGCTTTTAGCTCTGAATAGACGCAGCCTGTAATGAATAAAGCTCTCTATTTAATTATTCATATAATTCGTATTATTTTATAACAAATGTATGTCACAAAGAATTGATCAAGTATTCTCTCCACATCGTAGTTATAAATCCGACCACATTTTTAACGAATGGAACACTTTCGGCTCTTTCACATCGAACCGATACATTAGCTTTTAAATCGGGCCGCCGTCTAAGAGGGTTGGCTATGAAATGCTAGTAGAAATAGTCTCCGTCAAAGAGCCTAGCCGTAATAGGGCTATTTGAAAGCTATTTCACTCCGCATATTAGTTTACGCGGCCCTTCATAAGGGCTAATCCCATTCGGGTGACGGTAAAACGATCGTGTCGCTTCAACTGACCTTTCAATACTACTCACACTCCAAGTTCAGTTATTAAAGTTGTTCAATTTGATTCATACTCACTTAGTGTTATGCAATAATAATGGTCATAATTAATTTATTAGTAGTAATATTCATTTTGACATCAAATTTAATGTAAACTTAAAATATAATTGAATGGCGGTACGTGAAGTGATGTCTTGATCTCATTACTTTCGAAGGAACTGCTAACGATTACGACGTTAATCAAATAGAGTAGGTTTCCCCGGGATTGGATGTTTTATTCAGACTGTTATCTGAGCGCAGCGTCTAATACCCGCCGACCGTAAACTTGTCCTCGCTCCACGACACCGGAGAGATTTAAGAAAGAAGCCATTACAATACGAAATACTATAAATAATACAATACTGCAATCCATAACAGATTAGTTATTTCATTGCAAAAACGTTTCATTCGATAAAAATAACTAGCAAACCAAATTATAGATATTGATTTTAAAATTCAAAAATAATTGAATCATAAAATGTATGAAGTAATAAACGGTCATAATTTTACTATTCACAAGCGATCAACCTACCTCAGTATTACTAATACAACAACAAAGTGATTTCGATCGTCAAAAGTTTATAAACCCGATCTCATCGGCTGTTTCAGACTTTGACTTCAAAAGCTCCAAAGACTTCGAAATCAACAGATATCAGAGCGGTACTCCAAACTTATTATTAAACACTGTCACTTGTAATACAACACTAAGATAATCACAAATATTAATACGAAACTTACGTATTTAACGAGTACGATCCTCAGAGGGGGGACAACCGCATCCCTTCACTTTTCAGTTAGTTTCGGAAAACGATGTAATTTTATGATTGGTTTGTGTCAATGACTCCGATCATTTGCGGAGTTGCGCGGGCGGCACGCCTCGCGCGCTTTTCGTATTCCACATAAAGCACTGCGGCACAACACGATCACGCGCGAGTTCAAGGGACGAGCAGGCACGTGCGCGGCGCGCGTTCGGCCCGGGACACTGCCGCCGCCGCCGCCGCCACCCCGCGGCGCGCGCACAACCCTCGCCCCTCACCCCTCTCACTCCGCGGCGCGCGCACCAACAAACGATCTTCCTCAAACCTCCGATCATTTTTACATCTGCACTGTTGTGACATTGAAATTCAATTTTCCAGCGAGCCCTCGCCGACCCGACTCCAGCAATGAGTTCCGGGATCGTTCCGCTCCCATACATAACCTCGGGGTCCGATTACGGAAATCGTAGTTTTCGTACGCAAAATTGACGGTATCGAAAAGCAATCCGGTCTATTGGCTATGCAATTTAAAGTTTTACGACTGCGTTTATATGAAAAATGAAAACAATAATAATTACAAAGTAACCTAAACTTTTTCCTTTCATAAGAATTAATCATAACGTATATTATCATTCTTCCTTATTCAGTTTTCTTTCGTTTTGCACGCAACTTATAATTAGAAGGTAGTAATTTAAGCACAATATGAAACAGGCGACGATGAAGGCATTACGATGATGGTGCAAAAATAGCACGACAGAAAATGGGCTCACTAATCCGGCACTCGCTCTGCGGTTCTCCACCGTTCCCCTTTACAAATGGGTACGGTTCGGAATTTAATTTTGCACATTTCTTTTACGCTATTGGATATTGTAAGGATTTGCAGATTCCATTTATATAGGTCTGAACGAATACATGGTTTCTTGCTTAAATCTTCGGTTCTTAAATTTAGGATATCTTACGTCGGTAAGGACATGTTACTCTGTTGTAATGTGTTTTCCCCTCACGGCCATTACGGAAAGTTGAAGGGCCGAGAAGGGTAATCTAGTTTGCAATTAATGCCCTCACAAGTATTCGCAGTCTTAACAAGTTTTCGTAGGGTTGGAGTCTGCTTAATAAATCGACGCCTTTATTTATGCGAGCTGTCACGTTCACCGTAATTTCATTTTGTCAAATGACATAATTTAATTCTAATATTAGGGATGTTATTGTTAAAATTTAAACTTCCTTAGTCAATTGTGTCTCAACGAATAGATTCAGAGTAAATAAATAAAGACTCCTTAATGAAAGATTAAGCAAATCGTCGAGATGTTCGCGGATAACCAAATAAAAGGTCTCGAACAAACGTTGGAGCGAGATGCCCTCCATCCTGTTCCTCAGAGGCCCTTCCGAGAAGAATACTTTAAAAAACAATCCTACAACAATTGGAACTTTACTCAAGTTTGAACTCCGAGGAAATCACGCTTTCGCAACTTTTTCTTTTATCGGTCAATTTGTTAGCGGAACATTTCGTGATTCCTTTTGTTGAGTTTGGACGATGACATTTAATTTTAAACTTTTTTACGGATATAATAATTAGACTAGGAAGACTAATGGCGATTCAAAAATAAAATTTACCCTCACACTCATACTACCAGTGTTTATATATGATTGTTGCTAGTGACGCTTGTTAATATCGAAGTTGTAATAGTAACATGTTGTTGTTGAAAGTTAGTAAAGTTGATCACATATATTATATTCCAAACGGTTCTCTAATATATTTTTAATCGTCGGTTTAGCGGCGGTATAAAACGTAACACAAAGCCTGCTCCGCTATAATAACAATCAAAAGCAATTTCACCATTTGTAAAGCACAATTAATGAATCGAAGTAGACCTAATTTAATATTATATAATGGAGTTCCTTATCAATTCCGGGCGAAGTTAATGTCAACGGCACAATGCCGTCTTACAGCGAATAGACCTAGCGTATGAATGAGTAAACGCCGAACCAATTACTAAGACGCTGTGAACTTAAATTAACTGGATCGACTCACTGAGGATAGACGGCTACTAAGGAATATGAACCACTGCCAACCGAACTTTTCAAACTGATGAACACTATTAGAACCATATTTCACATATGTTATGAGATTTATTCATCAACTACACATTAAAAGCGCTTCTTTACTTTGATCAAAGTTGATTCCAAGCTTCCCCTGACATAAAATCTTCTTTTTCTTCTTCGCATAAAATTTGTCTTTTATGTTATTCCAACACTATAATAGCAACGATAAAATTTTATCGATTTCTGTCAAATAAATTTTGTGTAACGGAATTACAAATACACAAACGTATAAACTCACACATTTAAAATATGATATGTCTACATTTTAAAGGAATTTATTTACTAATAACATCATTTCAAAATCTCTAGTTATATTTCATTTCAACTGTAACTACATATTTATGGACATGATTATGTGACACCTGATTTAAATTAAATAAATTGTATTTTTGTGCATCATTATAGCTTCCAGTGGAAGAAATCCTAGAAGTCAGCGGAGTTAACCGGTGTTCCGTATAGAAGTGGGTGAACGGTTCCACCAGCCCCCGGCGACAGTTTAGAACAATTCGGAAAGCCGGACGTGCTGCCATTGTCATTCAAATGAAGACGAAAGCAAAACTTGTGCTACCTTAATGACATTCTATGGAGTTCTGATCTCCTGGTACTATATATTTATACAGACAAGAAATAATCGTTCTGATTTTCTTCAGTACACATTAATATCGCGCGCTTTCACCTTGAACGTACTCATTTTCTCTCCAAGTCTGTTGAAAGCTCGAAACGTGAATAAATCGCTGGTATTCGTTGACCTGGTAACTTGTAATAAATTATGAAAACGCGAAGAATTCCTTCGCGAGTGAGTATGCAGCTCGGTATGACATGTTGGTAAAGTTCTGAATTTCAACTCTTGAGCCTTCACATAGCTATGTATTTCTACATTCCCTCTGAGGTATGCTGTGTTTATATATTACGAACAAAGCGCTCACAAATTTTTCTTTCCATTTAATTAGTTTTGAGTTGTTTTACTTTTACAAACATATGTAGTACAAAATTTTGTAGCTGTGTACGTTTTCATGTATTGGTCAGTTAAAAGACAAACATAAATTTGCAATCTTTTTTCTGTTTTATATCTGTTTCCAATTATTGAAGTTTTAATTCATTCGATTACCATAAAATTATGATTGAAAATGAGATATGTTTTTGTGAATTGGCTTGTATCTGAGGTTTTAAATCTAAATTATATTTTAATATTGACAGTTTGAAAATTATAATCGTTTTATTTAAATAAGTTAGTATAATACAAACAAAAGTATATTGTTAATACAAATGAATATTCTCAAAATACAAATAAAGATTACTCTATCTTCTAAGTAAAATAAGAATTGAAAATTCTATTTAAGTGGGAACTGAAACGAGTGGAAAAAACCTTTAGAATCGAAACAAAACAATAGAGGTTTTTATGATAATCTATTAAAACACATATAAAGCGATACAAAAAGAAATAATACAGTTAACAATTTCAATTTGCACGCGAAAGCCCGAAGCGTGTCTGTAAAGGGATTGCGAGCTCGGTATTGCGAATAAGATTTCCATCTGGATGACGCTGTCGCTTATACTTACGATAACGGCTTATTTTATTTAACGATTCTGAATATCATTAAACAACATAAAATTAAGCGTAAAACACAGTTTATAAATGAACCTATAAGAGGCGGTTCGTATAACGTAAACCGATACCAATTATTAAACTTGTATAACATGACAAAAATTTTCGAAAGCCTCATTAACAGTGAACAAAAGTGAAATATATTTTGAGTAAGTAAACTCGATACATGCTCAAGTCCTTTAAGTAACTCGACACGTCACAAATACTTTAAAGACTATTTCGTTACAAAGCATACCCTTACTTCAAATGTTTGACCGTTGACCCTTGAACCGCGTAATAGTTATCTAGATTTGCTCGAGTGATTCCTATTTATTGACCCGTGCGGTCTAGTCAATAGACTGTATGAAGGTAAAAAAATACAATTAAGTCGAGTTTATCAAGTATTCAATTAATTTATATACCAAAAAAAGGTTATAAAATTTAAGAAGCAGTTTTTTTTCGTTGAATTACTTACAAATCAGATGTAGCTTGACTTATATTTAAAGTAAATTTGATTGATTCTCCCGTTTTGAAAATCAACGTCTTAGTTTCATTTTAAAAATGAAACCGTTATTTTCAATGACAAAATTTCTTTGCATTCAATAGATTCACCGTGTGGGTGCCGGGTGCAGGGAGTAGCTTTTATATATATACATTTTATTATACTTATCATATAATAAATTGATATACATATTTCACCATTTCGTACATTTTGCTTACTTTACAGGAACCTCTGATTACGGGCGGACAAGATGAAAGTGTCTGTCAGTTAGTCTTGTTATTTCTCATCTACTGCCGACAATTTCTTAATTATTAGCGTTCTGTTCTGGAGCCACGCAGAATTTGGTAACTGTAAGGTATCGCGGCTAAGTCACGGACATGGGATATTTTTGATAAGGGTTCCCAAGTGTCAGATAGATAACATTTACATTACCTATAGTGATTAAGATATTTTTTAATATCTAGAGCCTCGTGAATTAATCTTTGTACTTACTAGCGAGGATCTTGATTTGTTTAACCGGATATATTGGCTTAGTTTTTGCAGTTTTCGTACATTGCTGACTTCGGAAACAAAAGTTTTTTGGTGTTTCCTACTAGATTCTTATTGAGATTAAACATCTAAAATTGACAAACAAGGTGTGATAAACTGTATGGTCAGTTTTGTTCTAGTTCACATTTGGTTGACAGCGTCAAAATTTTAAAAAGGAGGTTGATTTAAGGATAGACATATATCAATAGGATATGAATAGTTATTTAAGAATTGCCTAACATCTGGCTACCGAATATGGGATGATGAATTCTATAAAAGTATATAGGTTGTAATGGGCTAAAGTCACGCAAAAATGTAAAATAATATAACAATACGTCCAGTATTTTCGAAAATCATTGTATTTAATTGTTTGTTTGCGAGAATGTTAGGCATAATTTAGATCTATATTTTTATAGCCACTTGAACGACTGTGAACTACCTGGTAATATCTTGAGATGCCTGTGGGCAGCAGTAGCACCCTTACTATTGGGAGAGCCATCTAGTTGTTTGTTATACTTGAACATTGAAAAAGCTTTTATTCTTAACATTTAGATAATCAATTTTTCATGAATATAATTTTATGTGAAATATTTTCGCTGAGAGAGTTTGAAATATTTTCAGAGATTGTCTGAAGGTATGTTACGCGTGATATCGTAACGTAAAAATTAAACATAAAATATCCCTACTAAAAATTCTTGTATTTTCCAAATGACTTTTGTCTA